TGTAGAGTGCATTAAATAGGAAACTTCATTGGCTTTCAGAATCACTATTTGGATTTGAGCTAGCTATTTAGCATCGTAGAAAAAAATCAAAAATAAAGTTTTCTTATGTTTTTGTCCAGTACTGTATATATATATAGGACGCTTCAGCATAAACTACCACAGACAATTTGATTTACAATATTCATAACTTATCTTTGTTTAAAAGGTGTCTCTTTTCAATCAATATAAACAAATTACCAACGTCGTTTATTTTCTTCAAACCATAACGGAAAAACATAAACAGCAAAAATTATGAAAATAATACTTGTAACTACGTCAACAATCGTAGTTACAATTAATTTTTCTTCTTCAATGTTCCATTGTTTCATCATTTTCTTTATCCGTTGATAAAAGCGTACTTGTATTGAAGTATCATTTTGAAGAAACTCATAGCGATCAATCGATAAGTCGTCATGCTTACAAATAAAACTTCATGGATCATCGACAATTGGAGGCATATATGCTGCCAAAAATATGAGTAACATGTTTAATATAGAGCACACTGTAAAACTGATAGGAAATATTTCATCAGAAAGAAGAACAGGATCAGTGCCAAAAATGGTGACTGTGATAACAAATAAAGCAAAAAAAAACGATCATAAACGAACAGTTTGATGATATGTACATGTATATATCATGGCAATTAGAATCAATGAAAGATAAACTTCTACTAATTTAATTGAGAAAGAATCAACATTTATGTACATTTGAAGACAGCAAGATGAATCTGTCCGATTTAGAACAACATCCAGGTGAAATTGCTTTAAACGTTATGAAACGAGCATTTATAAGACAATAAAATTAATAATTATCACGATTATGTTCGATATAGTATATTTCATAGATGAAACTCAGCGCCAATTAGAAACTGTAGACAAAAAATTGAAAGACTATTATGTAGCCTAATTTTACAATACATTGGAACAACTTCAAGCTTCCTCAGTAATGAACTACAATCAAAATGAAAATTACTTTATGTTAAGGAGCTTACTGGGCAGATGAGAAGTATCTCGTTCATGTAAAGTTTTGACAAACATTTAAAAACCTGATTGGTTCTACGTTTTCGGGTCGGAACGTGGATGTGGTTTGTAAATGGATGATGAGAGATGCCACCCTAACACATATACTCATCCACTTCCACTCCCATATCCTTTGAAACAATCAACGAATGCCAAAACGCTAAATACTTCGCTAATACTCTGAGAAACAATATATTGAACATCATTCTTTACTTATCCCTCTTTTGAATTGCATTTTTCACGCAGGCACTGAAGAGATACAACCTTCGAAGCATTGAACTCAGAATCGAAGATGTACAACATTCTTTGAATATTCTCGGAAACAGCACGTTAGACACCATCCACTACTTCTCCCTGTCTTGAGCATCTACACTTTCTATACGGACACTGAAAGAATTATGGCTCCGACAGAATTGTATTTCTTCGGCAATGAAAGCAAGGTTAAAAAACAGAGCAGTCGAGTGATATTTACGGTCTAATTTGTAGGGGTATATTTCATTGAAGGCAAGTGATCCTCTCGAATAATTAAACTATTTTGATGAATGTGTCGAAGGATGTCGATAGCCTTCAGAAACTTGTCTTTAATGTACACACATTTAGAATTTTTCTTTGAAAAATAAATGCTACGAAATAGATGTGTCTCAGAAACTGTAAAAATCTAAGCTTATAATAGATCGTTATTTTTAGATTCCTCATAGAAACAAATATGATTTTTCCGAAATTTCTGATATGAAGTAACAAAATTTTCAATAGAATATAAAACCATGACGAAGGAACTAAACTTTGTTGCTTCTTCAAGATTTCTTGCATTTGCAAAGGTAATGCATTGGTAATGGTGATTCTGTCACGAAACTTCCTTTCTACATGTATATCGTGATAACAGGTCGAAAACTGGTGGTTAATCACAGTTCTTTTACTTGATTTTGTTTTAATCTCACTGCGTCAATAACATACTGACGACATGACTTATAAATCATATTTAGTCAAGAGGGAGTAACAATTCTTATAAACATTTTAACTGGTCACAAACAGCGTGACATCGTCGAATGATTAAATTTCTCTCACAAGGCGTTGAAACGTAACTTTTCTTTCAAGATTTTATTTTAAATAAAATTCATTCATTTTATTAAGATCTTTAGCAATCCTGCAAAATATCTCTTCGTTGTGTCAATAGTGATTGTGATCGATAACTTGAAGTAGAACAGCTTGATTCACGTCGTGTGTACCATAATAGCAGCATTGATCGATATAATCTAACCAAGCAACTGTCGGAAATACCATAAAAAATTTCCGATGCATATGAAACATGTGGTTTGGTTCGATCAAAATCTTCTCGACGTAAAAGGAACTTTGTATTGGCTTTATAATCATCTATTATTATGCCATTCCCTTCTGGTTTATGTGTACTTGGTAAAAGAATTCGTCGAATAAATTCACTTAAAGTATGAACACCTAAAAATCGTTTCCAATTTTTGATTGAATTACTATTGACTATTTTATAAAAAAAAAAATCTTGTTTATCACATTCATTAACAGAATATTTAGTCAGTAAATGTTCGACTGATGTTTCATCTCGACTAATCATTCGTGCATGCAACCAGCAAATACCAATTAGAAAAAAACCAGCTATTAAGGCCATAATAAATATATAATTTGTTATGAAACCTTCTATACCCATAGTTTCAAAAATATCTCCAGCCATAAAAAATGAATCTATTTGCCGAAATCTATGAATCAACAATAAACTATAATAAATAAAATTTTTTTTAGTACCCACATTTGTTCATCAAATCGACTGATTTGATATTCACGATAACCAAAAAAGCCAGCATAAAAACATCCTATTGACATAAAACAACAAAATTGAAAAAAGTAACGATGATTATAAAAACCAACACAATTATTTAACCCTATAATTTCATTAAAGTTTAATATTAAAATATAGTTGTTTTTAAATTCACAATATCTTACATGGACAATGATGATCAAATTTTAATACGCATAAATTACACCAACTACAATGATGAGTTCGAGGTGGTTTGTTCAATGAACATTTCTTACACACAGGATGAACTATTCATATATAATTCAATATTCTTTTCTGTTCTTTTTTTTGTACTTTTGTTTATATGTCCAAATATATTTGATCATATTCAGATACTGTATTGCCAAATCTTGATAATCTTTAGCAAAACCAGGTGATGTAAGCCATGCCATAATATAATTAAAATAAATATTCATAGCCAGCCAATTACCAAAAATAAAATGAAATAAAAATTTTCCATATTTTCCGTGTTCAAATACAGCTGGTGCAATTATTGAATAAAAAATAAAAACAATATAAGTAGTGAGTGAAAAAAAGATAAATACACCAAAATAGCCTATAGACTTTGATAAAATTTTTCGTGTTGTTGCATTCCACATGTTTATAGATCAAAATTTTACCAATTATTTATCTCGTTTAATATAAAAAAAAATGTGAAAAGACAAATATCATGAATGTAATGTATACATTAAATGCTTCTGTTTCGCAATGGGTGGGATATGGTTGATTGATTCTTAAAGACACCATGAAAAAAAAAATGAAGGAAAGACAGAAGAGAATAAATAACTTGTCTTACATGATCAAAACAGCTCGTCATATAGCAATATTTTCAATCAGTTAGAGTTTCAATTTGTTTGCTAATTATATCATAAATGTTTACAATAAGCAACTTAAACTGAAATAAAATTGAAATTCAATGACATAATATCCTCAAATATAATACTAAATTGTAAATAAGGAAGATTTTACTGCATACTAAAATGTCTATTTTGATATTCAATTAGAATAGTTCTATAATAAATTTAAGACCTGTATTATTTATAAATATTTTCTTAGGTGCTATCGAACTACAATTGAATGAATATTAAAAAGATTGAAGTATTGTCTCTTGCTATATGGATGACCGCATTGACAATGATTTTTTGATGATACTTTCAAATGATGCATTTAATAATGATAAATAAGCAAAATTCGGAATAGCACAATGAAGAATAGAAACTTTGATAAAGAGACTAATTACTCTTGAGGAATAAAAAATCGATCTACATATTTCTATTGTTATTCAAATAATATTCACTGTTGATTTTTTTGTTTGCGACTTTCTCATTCAAATGATATTCAGCAGAATACTTTTTTACCATGATATATTTCGTATATATAATATATGAGGTAAAGACTCACATGTGCATCTATTTATAATTGATGGGGTAAATTAATTTTTTTTTCTAATGAAAAAATATAAAAGACAATATTGACATGATACAAAATGTTAATATTGTTTATGTATTAGTCTGTCATTGTTTTCTCCTACTCATTATGAACTCATCAGAGACGATTTCGAATTCATTTTTTAGTGAACATAGTTTTTCATTCTTCTTCTGTTATATCAATGTTTGATGTTATCATTATTATTATTAAGGCCAGACATCAATCAAGCTAGATGTATTTACAATATATCAACACTCTTATCAAATCATATGCGCATATATGATACTCTAAACTTACGACGATAAACAGAAACGGAAAAATACCTTCTAGAGGATACAAAAAATAAAAACTATGCAATTAGTTTTCTCATTATTTATTTGAACTAATAGTATTTATTAAAAGGAAAAACAAAACACTTCATAAATGAACATGATTAAACCTGAAACGAATGTTTTTTCTTTATCTTCACAAGGGAGTGCAACCCATGTCAAAGTATTTACAATCGATTTAAAATTGTGTTCACACAAACAGTCCTTCATTATCATAAAACGGTGACACGACAGTTGAACTCCCGAGTGTGAATGTAGATGTTCGTTGTTTCTTGACTCACACACAACCCTACAACCACATCATTTTGAAGGTTGTCAGCGAGCTAGAAAAGTAATGTTAATGTCTAATGTATTTTCCTGAATACAATAGCTCCTCCGTTTCGGTTTAGAATTCAGCACGAGAAACTTCGTCCATTTATGAATCTATCAAAGATTTGATAATGGTTAAATGATTGCAGGCTGAACTTGTAAAACTAAATAAACGTGCTCAATATGAACTTCTTGACGAAAAATTACAGCAATTAATTTTGCCTTTTTATTTAACAATAAAGGACATGTACTTTAAACCAGCAAGAGTTCTGTTCAATTTTTTATATGAATATGGGCTTTTTCAACTAAAACTATTTTCTTGTATTTCTTTAATTTGTTCTTTATGTTAAGCTCAAGTCTCGGAAGCTCATCCGTTGATCTACGATCATGAATGATCATTTAGTTACCATAGCAAAGAACATCGATTCCTATGTACCTGTTGATAGTTTTAATTTATCTGAAAAAATATAGTCAAGACATCAATCAACAATTTATGTTTGTTGTTTTTTTTTTCTTAATCATCGTCATACAACTCTCATGATGTTGTCATTAAAATTTGGAATTTCTTGGACATAATAAAAAAAAAAAAAAGTGCTATAATAATAATAATAATTGTAAACGATGTATCAAACATACACCAAGTTATTATTTTGCATGCAATTTAATGCATTTTCGATCTTGTCGAAGACTTTCTTGAGATATTCTTGAAGAAAATTTTGATTATCGATTTCATAATAAATCTTGTTGGATAAAAACATTTGGATTAAATATCGAATAGAATATAAATATATGCATGATTCGGAACTAATAAATTTGAAAAATGTTGAAGAAAATACATCATTAAAATAATCTGATTTCATGAAAAGAAGCAGTTCATTTGATTTATTTTGTCACAGAAGTAATCCATTATCTATTCCTCAAAATTCTTTGTTTGATTTTCTTTTTTCATATGTATAGATTGATCGAAAATAAGATCGATTTTTTGTTCATCAGGTCATTTACTTAAGATTAAATCAAAAATATTAATACGATTGTTTTTCTCAATTTGACTTCTCTGGATTTTATTAAAAAGAAATATGATTTATTTAAAAACTCATTTATTCACCTATTCACTGATCATTTGCCATGAGAAAAAGATTTTCACCGTCGTGTATTATTAAAATTTATTTACACATATCAGCATATTCATATTTTTCTTGCAAAAATATCTAAACATGTCAGAAATTTTAATCATTTTTCTGGTAATGTATTTTTTTCATTACAACCAAATGTTTGCATGATTGACGATGTATCAGATGATAGTCACGATCAACTTTTAGTTCTTCGATCATCCAATGAAAACTGGAATGATAGAAATCCATAATGTCAAATAAATTTTGTGGTAAATGTATTCACAGGTCTAACAAAGTTTGATATGATTTTTGTTTTGGTTGAGACGATTTATTATTATTATGTAAAATGGAAGGTGACAACATTATCTGTTCTTGTTTGCATATATTTGAGTATGAGTTGAACCACATGGTTCATATTATCTTGCGATTGATTGATAGCTATTCTCGTTTTGATCTATTGGCCATTGTTTTAAAGGTTAAGATCCTTGCCACCAAGGAAAATATGCAATTTCTCCAAAATGAGGAAACAGTGATAAGATTTTGTTTGTGAAAATCAGATGATGAGGGTGTCTTCATTACAGTTGATATATGTTCCAACCAACAGACACAGATTTAAACATAAATAGACAGGATGATAGAAAATTCTGATCACTTGCAGAATATATAATTATTTTTTCTTAAATATATTATCATTGCGACAACAAATTTAAAAAATTTAATATAACTATTTTATTTCCTTAGGTATAAATTCAATGAGCTTGAATCTGTACCGACATATATTAACCATCCTTCACTGCCAACAGAAATTTAAGTAATGAGAGATAATAAAAAGCAACATCTATATATAAATTTTGAAATTTATTTTTTATCTACACAGAACCTAATCGAAATGAACAATTATTACTTTCATATATTCAATCTCTCCACAGAAATATTACATTCTTATTCAACAATGTAGAAGAACATTAAAAATTTGCAATATAATTAAAAAATTTAAATTATTTACATTTGTTCGATGTGATCACTATTATAGTTTAAGAAGAATTTTTATTTTCTATCATAGACATACTATCTATCAAATATAATCAGTTAAATCATTATAGATGATTATTTACAAAAAAAAAATATTCTCTTGTTTATTATCTTTTGTCTGTCAGTGCAACAAATCATAAAGATCTCCAAGGAAACTATGTTGTAATGTTAACCTTTTTGACAGACGATCGAACATTTACATAGTATGGTCAAAGTTCAAATTCAAGCATAACTATTTCCATTTGATGGCACATGTCGATTTATGAAATTTTATAAAGCAATAAACTTTTCTTGAATTTGCTAAAAATTCGACTGCTTCTATTTCACATCTTTCTCGATTATCTTACAATAGATTTGTTTAAGAAGTGTCTCATTGTTAAAGAAAAGAAAATTGAACAAGCTGGAATATTTCATCTGCCTAAGCAATGTAAATAATGAAAGTTATGCCTTAATACATTTCAAGAAAAAAATTAATTGGAAAAAAATGCATTTTGAGAATTTTCGAACGAATGTCTGATTTGGAATTAGCATCCAAAATTAAATTGAAACGCCTTTATTTTATTTAAAACAATTTCTCGTCATAAATGTGTCTGAAGGAAACCACAGACAAAACTCCTAGAGATAGAAGCTGAAAGAAAGTAGTAGGAAATTATTCATGAGAAATTGCTTTTAAGAAGATATATACGTTTCAACTCAATTTTGGATGCTGGTTATGAATATCATATTAGGTTTGCCTGAAAAAGAATTTTCTAATGGTCAAGCAATCGATGTTCGGCATAGATAATATTTTTAATATTTTAGTTCCCGTCCTAAAGTGTTTAAAACTTAGTTCATAGTGTATCTTATAGAGAATTAAATTATCTTCAAGTTAGACTCATAAGATGTCTAGTAAAACTTTTTTATTCAATATTGGAAAAGCATACTGGCTAAATCTTGTGGTTTTCGCAAGGGTTTGAAATGTTTTTTTGAACGCTACATGTCGTATTTGCACTCCATTAAATATTGCGACTTGTGCAATTTCTTTTGTGTTCTTTTAAATGAGCTACAATTCGAAAAAATCGATTACGAAATAAATGAGATGTGAGCAAAAAGAAAATATCCTTCAGTGTTGAAAAAAATGTCAATAAAACGCAAAATGCTTTTTTGGTAAAATTCTACGTCTCAATCAAAAATGTTCTTTTTTCATCAAAATTTGTTTAAAGAGGTCTTGTGACAAGAGCTGTCAAAATAGACATATTGAAATTCAATTTTCAGGTTTCAACACGTTATACTTCTGTGGCATAATTGCTCGATAGACTCCTGCATCCTTTCTTGAAAAAGAACATTACTATTATATATATATATGATGTCAAAAAATAGACTAACCTCTTTAATGTATAGCTATATATATATAATAGTTTTAACTAAATTCTATATTCTTGAACGAATGTTTTAAAGTAATATTTGATATTGAGTCTATTCAATATAAAATATATGAAAAAATTAATAAAATACAAGAGAAAATGTTATTGTCAATTGAAAATTCTTACAAAATAAACCAATCTTCCAATAGATTTTTTTGAATATAATTCCATTAAGTTTTTCTGTAGAGAATGCTAGGTGTGCGAGGCGGGGGGGGGGGGGTATGTGTATACATATATATTTTGTAGTTAGTACAATAACCTACTAGATCATATTGGTCATCTAATTTTTTATGCAGACATCAATTTGCTATTGTCCTCCTCTTTTTTTCTTTTCTTCGGGTCTTTCGCATCTCATTTTTATCTATCTTCTTTTTCTCATGGTCGTTCGTCAATGGCATTTTCTGTTATATGTAACTCGTCGTTTCTTTTTTTGTTCTTCTCTTTCCATCTTAACACTATTATAAGTAGTGATGATGATGTTAGAACGACAGTAGAGAAAATGCCGAAGGTGAAAGCAAAGCACGTACAATATACTTCGTTGTTCTCTTTTTCTTTCTTGATCGGACTCGTATTTTCGGTGCTGATTCATCATCATCATCGTCATCGAAAAAAAAAAAGAGAAAGAAAGAAAATCTACCCGATGTATTTCTTTCTTATTGTAGGTCGTAAGAAAAACGAGAACGAGAGAAACATGCGTAGCCGATTTGACAATCAAGAAGTAGCATTTAGAGTTACGATGTAATACGTATTTGAATGAGAGAAAAAAAAAAAATTTTTTTTTTGACTAAATAAATATATATTTATTCAAACAATGACAAATAATCGAATAATTCAAATTTGGTGCTGGTGGTTACTAGCACTTGTTCAAAGTATTTATTCAAATGTTTCACAAGGTAAACAAAAGTAAACAGAAAAACAGACTAATTGTTTATTATCTTTTTTTTTTCTAGCTCAATTTATGTCTTTCTGTAATCAACCGCTCAATCTGTCATCGTCATCATTATTAATCATATATAGACCTGTAGTGTATTCAACATGCTGTAATATAACATTAATTAAATCACCATCATTGTCAGATTCATCTGAACATATAACAATAAATATTCTTAACATGTCCCAAATGCATCCATCATTAAAAGTTTATAATAAACAAACAGAACTGATAAATTTTTATAATTATTTATCATCGAATCGAACTTATCTTAAATCAGATATACTAAATTTACCAATTATTGTTAGTTTATGTTCTTTTGATATTCAACCATTTGAGATATTAATAACAAATATATCAAAAGGTATTGAATGAGAAATATTATTTTATTAAAAAATAGATTTTTCTTATTTTTTCTTTATGATAGGCCCATGTAAAACAAATCAATATCGTTGTTTAACAACAAAACAAGATCAATGGTGTATCGATGAAACTTATCATTGTGATGGTTATCATTCATGTCCACAAGGCATGGATGAATATGGATGTGCAAGTATGTATTAAAGAATTTTATTCGTACAAATTAAAAAAAAATATATTGTTTCTTTTAAATAGAATCAAACTTAAGGCCAACACCTCAAAAGATAAAACGAACTATTCGTGGTGGTATTGTAACCACAATAATTATATTCGGATTATTACTTATTATTAGTTCAGTTAGTATTGCAGTTGCCTTTGTTTATTTTCGACGAAAACGTCAAAGACGAAGACAATTTACTTATTCGCTTGAATCGACTAGTGAAGATTGGGAATCATCGAGTGCAGGTTATCGTTTATTTGATAATTGGACTAATAATCGTCGTCAAACTGACAATAATATTGATACTGTTATTATTGATGCTAATGAACATATGCCTATAGCAACAAATATGACAATTCGGTGATGTTTTTAAATCTTTTTCTTCTATGGTTTATTTTTTTGACTCTTTTGCGTTAAATTTCTTCCCTTTTTTATTATACATATATATATAAATATTATTGATGAAATATTTTTTGTTTTTATTTCTTCAAAAATGTGTTCATTGATAAACATTATATTCATAAACAGTGTAGAATATTGATATTATCAAAATATTCGATTGTTAGTGACAATTAATAAATTTAACTTCTTTTGTTTTATGTTCTACTATAGATTCAATAATTATCTAAACATAGTATTTGCCTAAAACAATACTTACTAAAGCTATTCTATATCATTAGTCATTATTATAACAAACGATAGATAATACGAGAAACATTTGAGGGAAAAATAGTTTTGCATATATGCTACTTAATTACTTATATCATTCCGTATTATTGCTGCTACAGAAGTTAACATTTAGCTATAAAAGAATTTTCGTTTTGATTGATCATGTATGAAATATGTCAGATTTCATCATCAATTGTTGAGTCTCATAGGATAAAATATCGAATTGTCATTCAAAGTTGATTGCACTTTTTCTCTGATGAAGAGAAATAAGTTGACAACTTCGACAAGTAATAATCTATTGTAACTATACAGAAACTAACTGAAGCTGAACAAACATATAATTCAAAATGTCATAACTATTGCAACAATTGATATATATATCTTGAATATACGAATAATCTGTTCTTAAAATTTAGAATTGTATGCAACAGAATATTCTTTTTTGTGTTCTTTAGAACAATATTTAGGTAAAATTTTACTAGTATAAAATATCATGCTAGGTCAAGAAGAGAACATTTTGTTTTATAACATACTTAGAATTCTTATCTTCACAAAAAGAAAAAACCTTTAAAATGCGTTTTTTGATTTATGTCATGTGTTATGTCGATAATATCTTGTCAACCACGTTAAAGATAAAATCAAAGTTACCGTCGTAAAAGCTTTTAAGATTGTAAAATAAAGAAAAATCAATTTTTTCAAACATATTTTCAAATGGGTGATGTTTGCGTTTTTGTTTTTGTAATTAATTTGAAATTGTTCTATTAAACTAAAAATTGCGTATCTATCACAGCTGTGAAGCCAATATTTTGAACTAGAAGAGCTCAACTTCTTTAGCGAAGTTTTTGAAAGATGTATTTTTTTCTGATACAATAATGTATTAGTCTATATAATGAAGTGTTTTAACACATGTATCTTGTTTTGTAAAACTCGTTTGTGTTTTTGAAGGAAACCAAATACAGTAAATATAAGTTTCAATCAGGTTTTAGTCGTTATGACATATGTGCTAAAATGCTTTATTGCAAAGACGAATACATTTTTACATTAGACAAAATTGCTTGTTAGCACAGCCCCTTTGGCGCTGAAATGTGTAACTCACATATACACTCTAGCCTCATTAAACCAATATAAAATACATAAAGTGATACATCTCTCGTAGATTTTAGCTGTTTTGCAGGATAATCGATGTTCAGAATAGTGATCTCTCTTGTTTCTGCATTTCGAATAGAAGCTTTTTATTTCTTTCAGCAGGCCTTCTATTTTTTGTTTGCATTGTTGCTATTCGTTCATTTCTTTTTAACTTCGTTTTTCGCAACGTAACATGCTTATTATTATAATCATTGAACTAATTGACAAGAAGTCTGTTTTAAATATTGATGATACTTTAAGCAGATCTTATGCACTATCATATATATAAATCAACTCACAAGTAATGATATTCATTATCTTTGAAAATTATAACTTGATGAATTTTGCATAAAACACTCTAGAAAATCTGATGCCTGTTATTCTCGATTGCTAAGATTTGTAATGAGGGGGGGGGGGGGGGGGGGGGTGAAGGGGCCGTGATCGGAGAGGGGAGGCAGGGAAAAAGGGGCTTAAAACCTGACCCTCCTCATTTTCTGGGAACGACGAGTGCACCACA